GGGGGGGGGGGGGTTAGATACCTCTTAACTTTCTTTCTAATATAGGGCTTTTATGTTTAAAAAAAGGGGGCAGCCCAGTGCACAAAGCATCTCGCATTCACGCAGTTTCCAGGAAAGGCCGTACCCTAGTGGATATAATGTAGACAGCCTACCCTAATGCAGGCATTAGTGGCTGCTTCCACGGCTCGAACCCTAATATAGGGCTTTTATGTTTTTCCTATTTGACATGTAACTAGTTATACCGTAAATTTTTGTTTGGCACTTAAAATGTACAGATAAAACCTAAAATTTGACTCTAACCTGCACAGCTATTTCCTTCTCTCTCTCTGACCCCTCAAAGATATAGAAAACAAGACTGTTCACTTTCATTTTAATATGGGACTTTGAGCTTTCAGTGGCGCTAACGCCTAAAATCTTATACTTAACGGGGACATTCAATTGCCTATGGTCAAATGCATATAGTAAGGCTTCATGGTATCAGATTCTCATAGGTGGGGTGCTCATTAAACCTCCTGGGACATCTTTTTCTTTTCAGATGCCTATTTAGGATGGGGAATGGGGAGAAGTGGAGCATCTCTTTACAGAAGATTTATGGCCTTGACTTTGAGAGTGTGGGTGGCAGGATTTAAATTTGTCTGGACAACAGGTGTTCTTTCTTTTTATGATATACTATATGACATGTAATTCTTGCAATGCATAACTTGAAGAGGGGATGTGTTAGATGAGTTGGTGTCTTATGTGAGAGGAAGGGAGGGGGGGAATCCCAAAAAAGAAAAATCATGGCTTTCATTTGCTTGTCTACCATTGAAGTAAGTTTAACTCAAGCAAATACTAATCCTTCTTTTCTGCATGATATGGCCACTGTGATCTAGAAAACTAGATGGGCTGATGTCAATCTGAGATTTATTTTCTGTGCATATGTTCTTTTTTTTTTTTTGATGAGGAATTTTCTGTGCATATGCATTGCAGTAGGTTTTTCCTTTTTTATTTGTGAATAAATTTGAATGTTCTTGGTACAAGCTTGACAAGTGAACCTTAGACCTCAATGGTTTTGTCTTTTAGTTAGTCTAATTAGTTTTCATCGTGATAACTCCGCTTTTTGAGTTTTGCTAAGCATAGCTGGTCTCAAGTCCGTTTGAAAAGGAAGGGTTGTGGTAGGTTGACTCTCATTGTAAAAATTGTCAAATAAGAGGATATAGATGAACCCAACTAGTTTGAGATTTAGGAATAATTGATTGATTGAGTTTTCAGGATCACAACTTGACCCTCCTCACCAGTCACTAACACATAATTCGGAAGAAGACCTATATTTCCCTCTCCATACTGGCGGACAAGGATATGGATATGCAGACATATCTTCTTTCTGTTGGTTTATATAGAATTGAGTGGTTTATTTTATTTGTCTTGAGAAAATATGAAAAAAACCCTTTACAGCTTCACACGTTAGAATATAGACACGTTTTTCTTGTGTTTTATGGTAAAAAGAATTAGTCAAAGGGGGTTAGGTGTTAGTTAACGTTAAATTTGTATGTTGTCGTTAATAGAGACGTTTACATTTTGTATGCAAGTTTTTTCTTTTAAAAACAGAAAATACCTTTAGTAATGTGGGAAAATCTAGTAAACTATCATATTTGTTACAGTTCAAGCCCATAATACGTATTGCTCGCTTTGACTCGGTAGACCTCACGGATTTCTCTTGACTCCATCATGTCGAGCGTAGAAGTACACATACCATCTAAACTTATGTTCTCTATTATATAGCGCTTTATTTTCCAGTCCCTTTCCAATTTGGGATTTGCCTCTTCCAAAGCTTCCCAACTTAGAAGCTTTGCCAGTCCTCTTAACCCGCTCTTATCGATCCGCCCTCCATCACGCATCACAAATTTTTGCTTTATCTTTCACACTTTCTGCATTCACTTTCAAGTTAATTTGGAACTATCTCCCTTCTTCTCTTGACATCATCAGCCAATCAATATGCCACAATCATTAAGCTGCGGCATAAAGCTGTCAGCCCCTTCAACCTTTTGGATTTTGTTAGCTCCCTGGACTTAGCTTAGTCACTCATGTACTGGAGCTTACCCTCTTTTTTTTAACTCTTTTGCTATTTGGCATCGTCCTGATGCATGCTCATCAATGATATCATTTTACTTCATCAAAAAAAATCTGTCAGCCCCTTCAAAGGAATTCGATAGCCAAATCATTACGCAATGATCTCAGGATAAAAAATAAAAGCTTTCTTGTAGCTGAAATAAAGGTGAGATTTATGTTTTTACCATTGATTCCAAATGCACTGAGTTCCTCAAGAAACTTCCCCTCATCCAATATGAACATATCTAGATAAAATGGATCTTGAACCTAACTCAACTCCAAAAGTTAGGTCATGAGAGGATTGCCCAAAACCACATAAAGAGACAACAACCCGTACCGATTCTAATTCCCTGCACGCCCGGACCGGACATCTAGAACATGGATAACATAACGGGGGAGCCTAACATATGGCAAAGTCAAACCGAGAGTAGCGACTTTTGGCTCTAATACCATGTAAAGAAAATAGACCTTGAACTTAATCCCTATTAGCTCAAAAGGTGAGGATTGTGTAGGACAATATAAGGAGACAATAGCCCATACTCTAAACCAATGTGGGATTGTAACAAACTCTAACAAGGCCTACTCGGTCATTGTTATCCATTTATAGAGTGCCACTTCTCACCTCCTCGTGTACTAATATCTCTAACCGATTACTTTTATAAAGTGTATGGAGCTATAGAATACCAACTTATCCCCTTAACTTCAAATCTCGTCAGTGAAGTGTTCATTATAAAGGAAAGTAGTTCAAACAAAAAATGCACATTAATCAGCATAAATCACCCGTTTAGTAGCTTAACATGTTTATTTGTCTTTATTCACTGGTTGCCTCTTCCCTCTGCTGATCCGAACCACTGTCTTTGTGCCTCCAACTAAGGTTTCCTGCTGATTCTCCCTATTAATTTAATCCTGGTAGAAAACTAAAAACCTGTGCTTTGTGATTTTAATGCATTTACTTATTTCATCTGTATGTGTGTGTATTTGGTCCGAAGTTTTGACAAATTTAGAATGTAGTACGCCAAGTTCTGTTTGATTCCACATTTTGGCGTGATTGTTCAGTTGAAGGCATTAATGGTGTTCTGCTTGACTCTTTTAGGAGAAATTGAAGGAAAGAGAACGAGCTTTGCGAAAACGTAAAGAAAGAGAAGAGCAAGAAGTGGAGAGGGTGCGGTCAAAAGCTCGTAGAAAGGAAGCTGTTGAATCCTATCAAGCTTTGCTGGTTGAAATAATTAAAGATCCTCAGGTATTATCTTGTAAGAGACCCCAAAAATATTACAAGGACATATCTTAGAACATATGTCATGGATCATATCCCATTACTTGATTAGACAGTTTTAGATAGTTCCAGAAGATCAGCCTCATCTTTATTCAGAAACAATAAAATTTGAAAGATCTTTGTTTGGTGGAAAGAGTACCATCCATCTTTACATGAGGTGCTTAGCTTCTCGGAAGAGCTTATTTTCTGTAACTACATGTTCTGTGCAGCCCGTGGTTATAATTGGTCTTTTAACTTGCAGTAAATAGCATTTCCCCCGTGGTGCTCATCAGATGATATTTTATTTAACTTTAAAATTCTTATCTTTTTGGCTTTACCTTTACTGATGAAGTATGGAAGGATTGTGTTTATTATGTGGTAGAATTGTTGAAAAGGTAATTCCTTTTTATTTTCTGGATGGTACTTGTTTCCAGTTTATCTTCAAATTGTTGAGATATCTTTCTCTTGCTCCTAAGGCATCTTGGACAGAGTCAAAACCTAAATTAGAGAAGGATCCCCAAGGACGTGCAGCTAATCCGCATTTGGATCAGTCTGACTTGGAAAAGCTCTTTCGAGAACATGTGAAGATATTGTATGAGGTAAGATGACTACTGATGTTCTTTTTTAAGTTATGTAATCCTTGTTATCTGCTTTTCACCCTTAATGATATGCTTTTTTAGCCACAAAAATCTCCTAGCATGATGTTTAAGACCTCAAGTTCCAAAAGCTAGTCTTCTTTCTAAAATTCCGTGTCCCGTCAAACTACACCACATAAATTGCAACAGAGGGAGTATAAATTATGTGTTAACTTAAGTATATTGAAAATGAATGTAATACATTTTATAATTGATACTCCTAGTGGTTCTTAACTTCTTATACAATAGCAGATAAGAAATTATCTACATATTTTTGAAGAACTACATCTAAGCAACAATCTTTTCGAAAAACTTTATTTGCTGGCTGACAAAGCCCTGTACTGACATTCTTTCTGCTTTGTTTTTCCTTTTCTAAATTTTGTTTGATTTTCACTGCAATGAGGATCAGAGGCGGATCTAGGATTTGAAGGTTTCGGGTGCCATATTATTTTATACATAGATATATTATTATTTATACGGTCCAAATGGGATAAATATATAGTCGGTTTGATCAAATTTGTGCTTCGATTCTAGCTATTCATCTTTTCGATTTATATAGATAAATATATCGAACGAAAATAAATTATGACAACTTAGCGCACATTCATAAAATTTTCAGCAGTAATACCAATATCATAAAATTTCTTCCACATGAAAAGTACAAAAAGACAACTTCTTTCATGTTCTGACAATTGGAAATATCTTCCAATTAACAAAATACTACCATAATCAGTTGGTCACTTTAACTAATAAGTAAGACATACATAATTCTTTCATCCTTAAGTAAACAAAAACATACATGTCATATGCATTTTTGGTATAAATTTGAACTAAGACTGAAAATCTAAACTTCCAATGAACGCCATCAAGGAATCAACAGCAAGAGCAAAACAAATAATGAAAATAAAAATCTGACAACAAAATGCTTTAAAAGCTTATCTGACAACAAAATGCAAAAGCTAATACAATCAGAGATTCAAGAGAACAATATGCACAATAACACAATAAACTATAAATTAAAGATTGGAACAGAGAAAAAAAAATCAATTTTGAATTGAATAAAAGAAAAACAAGGGAGAAAATGAAAAGATCAAAGGGGTTTAGCAACTTGTAAGTCTATATTCTTAAATATTAACTATACCACCAAAAAAATTATTTTCGGAGAAACCCAACATAAAAAAAAATTAAAAAAAGAAGCAAGAGAATAAGAGAGATTTACAGTCAAATTACAAAGCAGTGGTGCAGCAACAAGGTGAGGTGAAATGGAAAAGTGGACACCAAACGGTGGTGGCCAACTGCCGGTGAGTGACGGACTGAAACAGTGAAAATCCCCAAATTTGGGGCAGCAGCGCAGTAGAAGAGAAGGGTTTTGGGTGGGAAAAGTTTTTGTGGAAATAAGGTAGCTTTTGTATTTTAGTGGATAAAGAAAGCACAATAGAAAAGTCAAACAATATTAAATAAGTTAAAAAGTCAAAAAAGTAAAACAAAGAATAAATAAGAAAGCAAACAAGTAAACTGTCGTACACCTAACATTAATAGTCCAATAGTTACGTACTAATAAAAGTTCCAAAACTTTTATGTGTTGCCCTGGTCTCGAACTTCCGCTGGCAGAGAGGTATTTTCGGGCCTTTACCACTGGCACCCAGTGGCTGTTTTGTTCATTAGGGTGCCATTTTATTATATTGTACAATATAGATATATACACAGAGTTCCGGCCGAGGTTTGCGGGTGGCGGCGCACCCCCTCGGCTCTATGTAGATCCACCCCTGATGAGTATCCCATACTGGTGTTTAAGTACCTAAAATCTAGCAAAGAGAAAAATGTGACGTGGGCCCTCCATAGTTACTAGCAGTTTGCATCATTTAAATGAGGTGTACCTTTGTTTGTCCTTCTCACGCAGTTTATGTACTTCCTTATTTATCAAGTACATGGTTTTCTTTTCTTATTCTCATACTATGTATTTTGATCTTCAGCGGAGCGCACAGGAGTTTAAAGCTTTACTAGCCGAGGTTATAACTGTTGAAGCTTGTTCACGAGAAACAGAAGATGGTAAAACAGTTGGAAACTCTTGGTCAACAGCCAAACAACTTCTCAAAGCCGATCCCAGGTACTCAAAAATGCCTAGAAAAGATAGGGAATCCTTATGGCGCCGATATGTTGAAGATATTCAACGGAGGCAAAAGTCAGCACTCGATGAAGTAGATAAAGCAAGAAGTAAAGGATCTTCTGGTTCAAGGAGGAGATAAAGCAAGAAACAGAAGCTGTAGTAATCCTCAAGTATTTCGTATGATCAAAGGCAGCTGAGAAAAGACAGTTTTCTCAGGACACTTGTTTTTTAAGAGGGTATGAAGCAGAGTACTCTCTGCCAGTTCATGTATCATTTTGAAGCACAGTGTCCAGAACTTATTTTTGTCAAATCTGATAATTCCTTGGACTCTCATACCTAGGTGATTATGTAGTAGATTTGATTTCTTCTAATTTTATGTATTCTAGCATTTCAGTTCGCAGCCATTTTTCTTGTACGCTATACGGCCTGACAAGAAATAGATTTCATGATTGAATCAATGTTTTTGCTTTTAGTGTCGAGCAATAGGGTGCTGCTTGTGTCGAGAAATAGTTCAATTCCTTGGAATCGAGTTTCAGTTTGAAGTGTGTGATTTTGTATTTTTAATTGAAGCTACGGTAGAAACTAGGCTCTTTTCATGCAGTTTCATAAACCATTTCATACTTCCTTAACAAAGAGCAAGGAAAAGAGATCTTCTGTTGGAATGATATCACTTCGTATTGTTGGTAGGTCTGACTGTAAGAATTTCCTGTATGTTTAGTCCAGAACTAATAAATAGACAAACTATAATTGAGGCGCATTGGTTTTCTTTTTCATTGTACTTTCGTCTCACAATGACCAACTGCAAGCAGCAGTCCCTTCAGTCTAACTTCTCTCGACGTTATATTCCAATTTGCTTTTTCCTCTCATAATGAATGGAATTTAAATGGATATATTATCAATTGAGTCGAGTAGAAAAATTAGTTATATGGTGGACAGTTTGGAAAGAGCAAAATGCTAGGTGTTTTGAAGATGACAGAAACTCTATCCAGAAGACCAAGATGAACTGTTTGCTTTTGTTTCATTTTTTGGTGTAACAGAATTCTGCAAGTGATGCTGAAACAGTGTTAGAACTCGAGACTTCCTTTAAGAATAGTAAGGGATATTTTGTTGGTACCTCCTTGTGCCATATTTTTGAAGTCAAGAACTGCTCATGCCATCAACTCAATACAATATGAAATTATGAATAGAGCCAATGTACATATTATGCAGCGAGTAGGCTAAGAATATTAAATGCGGAGTCTTGTTGAAACAAAACATTACATTGCACTACTAACTGTCCGCATAGTAAACTGTTTACAAAATTTTGAAGTCGAGAACTCTTCGTGCCATTAATTCTATATAGAACATGGCCTAGGGCCAGCACATTTAAGCCGCAACAGCTAAGATAACAATAGTAGACGCAAGCCTGACTAATTGAAACAAACTCATCAGATTGCCCTACTACTCATCTGGTTTATCTGGATCTTCTTTCTCAGGATCTTCCTCTTCCTCTTTCTTTTCTTCTTCTTCCTCATCCTCTTCCGGAGGATCGGCTGGCAGAGGTGGTGGCAAGGGAGTTTTCATAGGACTGAATTGGGGAAAGATATCTGGTCTTCGTCCGGGCTTGGGCCTTTCCCATTCCTGCCAATAAACATGTTTCATCAAAATGCTTTGGATGGGTATTATTATAGAAAGCACAACGCAGTATCAGCTCAAAATCCTCTGAAAGCATATTGCTAAAGTTTGTTAGTGAGGACATCAAGAAACTTCCACAAAGACATGTCTAAGAGCTTTTAGAAACTACTAGAAAATAACAAATAAAAGACCAAAATTGTATTTACATCTCTGTCTTTGTTAAAGGCCTGGGGCTAACTCAGAAACTAGAACCCATCTGGTGTGAACAGTACATTTGGTGGTTGTACAAAGGCAGCCAACTGGCCAAACAGAAATGTACGACTCCATAGAATATAGTACCAAAGAATCAGAAGCTTTCTTTAAAAAAAGGGAAAAAGAGAGCGCAGAAGCTTTCACTCCATCATACAGGGATTTACAGTTGGGAGATCCTCTCTCTTCCTTTCTGTTTATACTACACTTTTTATGGAATCACTGAGCAAGATGATAGACAATGTTGTGGCCCTTACAAAAGAAAGTTAATACCTGTTGGACCAGTCACTGACTATTTCACAAATTCCTTTATCAATGACACAATGAAAGGTTTTGAGGCTAAGAAAGAATAACTAACTAATTGATTTTTGAAGCAAAATCAGGTCTGCATATTAATTAGACAAAGAGTGACTTGTCCAGAAGAAATAACACATGCATGGGCAAAGTTTTGTCCCTCTACCAGATTCATGACATATACAGGTTAGCTACTTGGAAGAGACAATACCTCTTAATAAGAGGATGAGTAACTTTTATCAATTTGTGTCTCCTCATATAATGGCCATGGAGGTTTAGAAAGAATGAATAAGGCTATGGAGAGATGTCATTAGACCCACTTATTGTGCAAAAAAAAGGGAGAGATAGAAGAGATGTTACTGCAAACAAGGAAGGGCTGCAGAAGGCCAGTGGTTGACAAATCGAGCAAGCAATCACATTGAGTAGCCTATGAAGCACATTGCAGCATGTAAATCTGCCAATCTCCCCTTCCCTTCACCTAAGTCTGACAGCCTCCCCTATGCCTCCTTCCAATCATTTATCTTATCATAAAGGAATAAAAAAACCTCTTTCAAATCAAGTCCTCCATTGGAGCAGTGCCTCCAATGAAGGAGCGAAAGAGAATGAGCTGAGTAGCTGAGATGCTGAGGGAAAGGAGTCTTGGTGCATTGTGTGGAGGAAGCAAAGAGAATCAGAGGAGAGTAAAGAGGCCATGATCTGTGACGGGACGGGTACTGAACGGTGCAGGAGTATTGAAGAGGAAGAGGAATGGGAAGATGCTGCCAAAATTATTCTGCTTCTCCTTTTCTCCCCCTTACTCTCTTGGTGGCACTTCTTTTCCCCCTTACTCTCTTGGTAGCACTTTGAGGAATAAAAGAGATATTTGAAGGAGCTATAATAGATTGGAGGCTAAATAAAGTCATTGAGGGCCCCTCCTTGGGGAGGAAAGATGGCGGGTAGGGTATCTTTTCCCCAGACTAAGACTACTTCACTTCACTCGCTGGAACTGCAAATGGTAAGGAAAGGGCTCGCTGAAACTGCAAATGGTAAGGAAAGGGGGCTTGAAACTACACAGATCTGATACCTGACTTTCTCGGCATGAAAAGTTAACCATATAGGTCGACAACCTTTCTTCTAAATTGTTTCTACCAGGCCTCATAGTAAAACGGCCCTCTCGGAAACTGAGTCACTGGCTAGTCAAACAAAGGGATTAACTTCCTTATATGGGGGGGGTTAGGTTGACATGAACAGATAGCTTGGTAGTTTGAGAGTATTTGCCAATTTATTCATCTAACCAGTAATAATCATTTGAGCTTAAATAACCAATTACTATAGTAACTCATTCTCTTCTAATCCTCTAGTTAAATGTTGTATTTTTTCACAACCAAAACTGTATATTTCAAATAGTTGCCACTTGGACATTTGAAAATTTTAATTCATCCAAACCAAACAATTGTTCACACTTGAAAACCAAAATCTATGTCTAGATCAAACTATACTTTTTACCTACTAATCATAGGTTTTACCTTTAGCACGACCAAATTGCTATTTTCTCATAGGATTTGGCACTTTGATTGGATTATCACAATTTAATTCATCCAAATAACGACAATCTTCCACAGTAAAATGACCAAAAACTATAAGAGGTCGTTTGGTAGCTGGTTAGAAGAAAGGTTATTCATGTATAAGGGGTAACATAACTTATACCATGTTTGGTAGACATTAGTTATTTTGTATAAAACTCTGCATAACTAATACCATGTTTGGTTGACATTTTTCAATTATGCATAAATAATACATGTATAAGTTATGACTCAATCTGTGCATTATTTTATGCGAGGTAGAAGATGGAATAACTAATACATGTATTAGTAATACATGGATAAAATACTGAAATGACAAATTTACTCCGATCACTTTACACATAAGGCTTCCTTAGATGTATCGATCTGTATCAAACTTTTGGATAGCAAGAATGGAGATAGCGATGCCTCACTGCTAGGCTCTTCCTCTTCTCAATCTATTAAGAAACAAAATCAATAAATTGACATATATTTCTCTGATCTAGCGCCTACAGATTGTTCTCTCATTCAGGTAAGAAGTTTTTGAAACCCTAAACTTTTCTTTTCTTATTTCTTCTCCTTTTACTTTTTCCTCTTGTGAATCTGCTGAGAGACGAATTTCTGGAAGAAACTTTAATTTTTCAATATTTTCTAGTAAAGTTGAAGTTTTGAGTACACCCAAATTTGATACGGGTTCTGTTTGTTTGTTAAAAGCAAAAAAAAAAAATTCTTTCCAATAAAAGGGGGTTCTTGTATAATCAGTTTCTTTAGCTTCAGAAATTGCAAGATGAGAGCAACCTTAACTTTGTGTTTGAAGTATTGTTATTTCTTTGAAGATTCAGAAACATCGAAGGTCTAAAACATGGTGATTAATTAAATAACAAAAAAAATGATACTCTAATAAGACTACTTTTGGTTGATAAGACTCCAGAAACGTTTGTTTTTGTGTAGCAATTGTGAAATCTATATGTCTAGGAGAAGAAAATAAGAACTTGAAAAAAGTTTCTTTAATATGCAATGTATGTTTAACTATATATGCTCAGTTTAATAATGATTTTGCATCTTTTAATGCAAATAGGTGTTTATGGATCCTCAACAATTATGCGATGTCGAATGCTTTATCATCCTTGAGGAGAGTGTGGTGCAATCTTATATTGTCCTTATTTGTCTTTTTATGGCTATTTACAGCATGTTCTTAAGAACACAAAGTAGAAATAAACGGGTTAGATATTGCATGAGTGCTAGAATTCCTAAAATCGTGTCTCATCTAAATTTTATTATTCGTGAAAATGATACTGTATGTATTGATAAGCTTAGGATGGATAGAAGTGCCTTTCACATATTAGCTACCTTAGCCAAGGACGTTGGAGGGTTGACGGATAGTACAAATATGTCCAGTAGTGAAAAGTTAGCAATGTTCTTAAATATTTTGGCTCATCACGAGAAGAACAGGTCTATCAACGTTGATTATATTAGATCAGGGTGGAGTTAGTCAAACCTTCAATGAATGTTTAAGAGCTATTCTCAAACTAACTCCATTGTTAATTGTTAAACCTAAGCCGGTGCTTGAAGATGAGACTGATGACCGATGGAGATGGTTTAAGGTTGGTAAATTTCAGTCCAGCATTTGATTAACTATAGAAAGATTTAAATATTATTATTAAAGTATTTTATTGATAACTCTATTTTAGTATTTAGACTTCAATTTATTTTATAGGGTTGTCTAGGTGCATTGGATGGTACTTACATTCCCATTAGAGTTCCATCTATACATTAACCAAGATACAGGACCCGGAAAGGAGATATAGCAACTAATGTATTGGGGGTTTGTGATAAAAATCTCA